GTGCATGGAATAAATTTCACTAGATAGAACTTGATTGCAAACAAAAAAAAATTTCTAGTAAAATTAAAAATTGATAAGCAGTCCCTCATCCTTGATATGGATCCTATGTTATATAGGTGTTACAAATGAACAAGACTTTGTTGATATCTTATGAATTGCCACTTTTTTCATCATATGTGCACCATCTTTATCTTTTGTAACCATTTTTCTAGAAAGCCGTTTGTAGTAGTTATAATTACCATAAATCGAAATACTGAAAATGATTACATTTTTAATAGGTCATCTTCACAAATTGTTTATTTCCATATAGAAACTTGATATGGAACGAGCTCCACGAAAAATAGATGTCAAAGCAATTTTGAAGCGATTGCTATCTCCATTCCGTCGGTGCATTAAATTTTCAAAAACTCCAATTGCTATAGGAAAATAATTCTTTTCAATCGGTAATTTCGTAAGGAAACAGGTTCTCTTAACTATCAGTGACACTATTGTTCCGCATAAAATTGATGCATTTGGTATTTATTTGCAGAAACACACTTTGATGCCATTGCATGAACATTCGCACTTTTCGGAATCAGTAATTGCACTTAGTTATAATTGAATCGAATCTCGAAGAAATTGCAAATGCTGATTTTTTGGCAGTAATGATCTTTTTTGAATATAGAAGAATGATTTCTGTATTTGCTAAAAGGAGTTCAAAAAAGATTTGATGATATATGACCGGTTTGCGTTGAACCAGAAACTTGTTGACTCACTTCTAATAGCAGGAGAGAAAGTACTAAAAAGAGTTAACTAAGAGTTCAAAACAGCTGTAGATAATTCTGCTAAGGCTTGTCTCCTTCTTGCAGTCGTTGTAGATAGAAAAGTACAGAGCAAGAAAATGTTTGCCTTTATGTTGAAACAGATTGAAGGGATTCGAATCCAGTTTATATTTGGTTCCAATACGAATTTATATTGCAAAATTAAATTTTATTTCATTCTAGCATTAGTTTAAGAAGCAAATGTTCCAAAGTTAAAAAAGCTTTTTCATGGAGAGCTAGAGGGAAATTAACGTTATCT